AGAGTGCTGTAGTTTTCAGTGTAGAGATCTTTTGTTTCTTTTGTTAGATTGATTCCTAGATACTTCATTTTTTTGGATGCTATTGTAAAAGGAATTTTTTCCCTTATTTCTCTTTCTGTCTGTCTGTTATTTGTGTATAGAAAGGCTATTGATTTTTGGGTATTCACCTTGTATCCAGATACTTTACTGAATCTGTCAATTAAGTCTAGAAGTTTTTTGGTGGAGTTTTTTGGATCTTCAATGTAGAGTATCATATCATCAGCAAATAATGATAGTTTAACTTCTTCCTTTCCTATCTTTATTGCTTTAATTTCTTTCTCTTGTCTAATTGCTGTGGCTAATGTTTCCAGAACTATATTGAAGAGAAGTCAACACAAACTTTTTAAACACTAATCAGTCCAATTAAATATAGGATGACCAAAAATTACATTTTTTGTTAAATTTCATAAGATAATATAACAAGCAATATAAAAGTAACAACTTTGGCTCCAGGGATTTAGCTCAGTGGTTCCACTACCTGCCTTGAGAGCACAAGGTCCCAAGTTTGATGATCCCTCCTATAAAAAAGGACAATTTTATCAAATTTATTCAACACAAATATCAATTGGGCTGGCATGGTAATCGCAGCATGTGGGGGACTGATGCAGAAGGACAGCCATGAGTTCAAGGGCAACCTGAACTACATAGTGAGACCCTGTCCCAAAAAAATAAAAATTGTAAAGTTTAATGGCTGGAGATTTAGCTCAGTGGTGCCACCACCTGCCTCACAGTTGCAAGGTCCTGAGTTTGATCTCTGGTACTATGTTATAGTTTTATTTCTTTTTTGTTTTTTGTTTGTTTGTTTTTTGGTACCAGGGATTGAACTCGGCCCTTGTGCTCGTGCAGTAGGTGGTGGAACCACTGAGCCAAATCCCCAGCCCTCAATCTCTGGTACCAAAAAAAAAAAAAATTAAAAGTTTAGAAAACTACCATCACTACCACACCTCACAAAAAAAAAAAAAAAACCTACAGGAAGGAGAATGGCCTCACATTGGTAAATAGCACTGGAGGTGTATATTTGCTAAAAATCATTGTCATTTAAGAGCACAGAGAGGTCAGAATTATCAGGGCAGGAGATTGCTAATTTTCCTATAATAAACCCATTAAGTACTATTTTATTCTTTTAAGCAATGTACACTTTTTTATTCTTTTAAACAATGTATTACTTTTAGCACATTTTTTTGGTTTTTTTTGGTACTGGGGATGGAACTCGGGTCCTTAAGTTTACAAGGCAGGCATCAGCACCACTGAGCTAAATCCCCAACCCTTAACAGTTTTTTAACTGAATATCATCCCTTTGTGAATTTTTATTAGTGACAACGTTGATTTTAAAAAGTGAAAGTGAAAAGTGAAGGAGAAACTAGCTCTGTAGAGCAAGCTTGGACCAAATAAAAGAGGAAAAAGCAAAGTAAAAATATACCCTAGAGGACTCAGAATGAGCTAACATAAGAAAAGCCACAATAGCTCCACCACCACCCTTTTTTTTTTGAGGTATTGATGATCAAAACAAGGGTCTCATGGATTCTACCACCAAGTTACCCCATCCCCATTTTTGTCATTGAAATTATTTGTTTATTCAGACTTAAAGTCTTTTGGTTTTTGGTTTTCTGATACAGGGTCTTAATGTAGTCCAAGTGGGCCTTGATCACTCTGTGTAGCCCAGGGTAGCCTCCAATTTGTGATCCTCCTGCCTCAGCCTTCTGAATGTTGTGTTTATGGGTATGCACCACCATACCTGACTTTTCAGAAGCCAAGTTTTGAGGGCTGGGAGTGCGGTTCAGTTGTAATCACTTCCCTAGCATGCACAAAGTTCCCTGGGTTCAGTCCCCAGCACCACAAAAAGAAAAGGAAAACAAGTTTGGCTCCTTATTAGGAGAAATTTTCTATAATTACAAAAATAAACTGAAATGAATATCAGATCTCTTCACAAATACCATAGTAGCCATTGGTCTAGAATGTATTAGAAATTGTAGTAGTCTAGAATCAGTGATATGTTAGTTTTTTATTATTTCTCTTTGTTTGTTGGTTTGTTTATAGCACAGTCTCACTCTGTAGTCCAGGCTGGTCTTACTCTTGCTATATAGCCCAATCCTCTTACCTCATTAGGCTCCTGAGTGCTAAGATTATAATCTTGTGCCACCCCATGATTTTAAAGTTTTACCCTTTCCACATTAGCTTTATTTCCTCCTTCCATTCTACAAATTCTGGAATATTCTCCAACCTCTTTTCTACTCTCATTGTTATCTTTTGAGTTCAGACCCACCTTGGCAGTATTTTTGTTTTTATTTTGTTTTGTTTTGTCTTATTTGAATCAAACTCAGGACCTTGCACTTGCAAGGCAGGCATAGTACCACTAAGCTAAATCCTCAGCCCCAATCATGTTATTTTCTGTGACACTATATGGGCTTATTTTTTCCAATTAATTTAGAAACTTTTTTCTTTTTTTGTGGTACCGGCAGTTAAACTCAGGGTCTCGCATGCTAGGCAAATATCTGTTTCCATATTTGTCTTCCCCTGCTAGTGTACCAAATCTCACATCATTTGCCCTGAAGAAAACTTGGAGATATGGGCCCAGGGATGTAGCTCAGTGGTTCCACCGCCTGCCTCACAAGTACAAGGTCTCGAGTTTGATCCCCGTACCAAAACAGAAAAAGAAAACTTGTAGATACAAGGAGGAGGAGGCTGCTGTGGCCACTTGATCTGCCACATTCTTCATCTCGAGACCAACAGAAACTCCCTGTTGTCCTAAAGGTGCCACCTCAGAACAGGCGCTGTACTTATGAACCTTTATTCAACATTTTAGCTGGGTGTAGCAGCGCACATCTATAATCCCGGCCCTCATGAGACTGCAGGAGTGTTGCCCCGAGTTCAAGGCTAGCTGAGCTACATAGTTCAAGGGCAGTCTGAACTACATGGTAGTGAGTGACTCTGCCTCAGAAAACCAAAAAAAATGTTTTTTAATCTCCTTAGACAAAGTTCTATGTATTTGTTTCACTATTTGGAATACGTATTAAACGTTGAAAAATTAAATATTTCCAGACTACATTTACATATTAAGTAATATACACATTTTTTTAAGTATATGCCATAGTATTTGGTCTTAAGAAGTTTTAAAATTACTGCTTAGAAGGCAAAGGCAGAAAAATAACAAGTTCAAGGACATTTTAGGTAATTCAGAAAGAGCTTGTCTCAAAACCAAAAAAAATGTTTTTAAGGGCTAGGGTGGTAGCTCAATTCTATGTTCAATCCCCAGTACTTGATGGGTAGGGGTGAGGCATAGCTCAGATAGTAGTAGCCTTAATAATTTTTCCCAGTCCCAAGTAAATCAGATAATAGTTTCTCATATGGGTATGGTGCACACTTCTAATCCCAGTACTCAGGAGGCTGAGACAGGAGGATCACTGTGAGTTCAAGGTCAGCCTGAACTACGTAATGAGACCCTGTCTCAAACCACCACCCCCCAAAAGAGTATAGTTTCTGGTTTTGTATGTGTGGTGCTATGGATAAAACCCAGGACCTCAAACATGGTAAGCACCTGCACTACCACTGAGCTACATCCTCAATCTTATTTTACTTTTTTAATAAACTATTATGAGGACTCCTAATTCCACAAGACCTATCATACTACTAAAATCTACATTTCACATTAAACCCCTTTTTTGTTACCCAAACTTCCCCTGTTGGGTATTAATTATAGATTGTGTGATTGAATGGATAAGATTCTACACTCGATTTTTTCATATACATTTTTTAAGGCTTACATAAATCAGGTCAGGGTTGTAGCTCAGTGGCACTGCACCTGCCTGGGGATCACAAGGTCCTGAGTTCGATCTCCGCTTTTGCAGGGGGCTTGCATAAATCAAGGAATACCTAATGTGGTGTGGGCTAACTTCTTACCATCTCTTCAGAAGGAATAGCCTAACTGCATTTTTGAAGTTTTGCTGTTAGCCAGAATTTTAAAGAAAGAAATGTAAAGGGAGACTTAAAATACAGCAATAACCTTAACCCTCATACTACAAAGCCTGACTACCAAAATAGATAATACATTTGTGATTTTAGGTACTTTACAGCAGCACTGTCCAATAGCAGCCACATGTCTCTATTAAGCACTGAATGTGGTTAACATCAAAATTTTTTTTCCAGTCTGTTGTTTTGAGACAGGGTCTCACCATGGAGTCCAGACTGGCCTTCAACTCTATATATTCATAGCCCAGGCTGGCCTTGAATTTGCAGTGATCCTTCTGTCTCAACCTCCTGAGTCTTGGGACTATAGGCGTGTACCACCAAACCCAGCTTTTTTTCAGTGTAAATTAATTTAAATTTAAAAACTAATACTGTGATTAATTCAATTATTAGAAAACTTTAAGTATATGTGAAAATCTTAGGAATGTGAGCTTACTTTTTCAACTACATATTTTATTATAATCTTTGTAGTTGAGACTGACCTGGAACTCACTATGTAGCCCAGGTTGGTCTCGAACTCACAGAAATCCTCCTGCCCCAGCCTCCCGAGTGCTGTTATTACAGGCGTGCGCCACCACGCCCAGCAATTTTATTATAATCTTAATGTAGACCACATATTTCTGATTATATTTTGACATCTGCATTGAGATATACTTTCACTACAAAAACACTAGATTTACAGTGGCACCATGTTTGCTTCACAAGGACAAGGTCTTGAGTTCAATACCCAGTACTGAAAAAAACGAGTATATGAAAGAATATTTTAAAATCTCAATTTTTATTGCATGTTGAAGTTATATTTCTCTTATATTTCTATCTAAAATTTTTTTTAATTAGTTTAACATTGATTTTGTGTATATGGGGATCAAATTTAGGTTTTATCTCATGCCAGGCAAGCAAACTACCACTGAATTAGTAAGCTGTACCTCAACCATAAAAAATTCTTCGAAGAGCCAGGCATGGTGGTGCACGCCTATAATCCCAGTACTCAGGAGGCTGAGGCAGGAGGATCTCTGAGAGTTTGAGGCCAGCCAGGGCTACCTAGTGAGCTCAAGGCCAGTCTGAACAACATAGTGAGACCCTATCTCAAAAAAGAACAAAAACAATTCTTACCAAAAATTTAAAAGTTGTTCTTGCTAACATGCTAATTATAGTATTATACTTCATGATTTAGATTATAAGAAGACCAGTCTAGCACCTTATGTGAAAGTATTTGAACGTTTTCTTGAAAACCTGGATAAATCCCGAAAAGGAGAACTTCTCAAGAAGAGTGGTAAGACATTACTTTTCCCTTTTATCTAGTTAAGTCTAAATATGAGCAGTTTAAAGCATCCAACAAAGGGACAATTTTGAGCTATAGTCTTTGCCTCCCAAAATGATTGATTTGGGGCTGGGGATTTAGCTCAGTGGTTCTGGCACCTGCCTCACAAGCGCAAGGACCCACATTCAATCCCTGGTACCAAAAAAAAAAGAAAACAAAAATGATTGATTTATCGTACTGTCCTTACTGTTTTCAGTCGAGATTGGTTATAATCCGGGTGGTATGGCCATAGACAGTCCTTACTGTTTTCAAAAACTGAGGCTCCTGACCACCATGTTCTCTCTTACATGGTGGCCTACCCTCATGCTGTAGAGTATTCCTACTTTTATTTGGCCCAAACTCACTCTGCAGAGCCTGTTTCTTTTCCTACCTTTAACAAAACTTTTGCTACCATTTTTTAAAAGTGAGGTTCTTTAATTAATTCAACAAATAATGTTTATTAAATGTGTTTTATGTCAGCCACTATTGACAAAACATGAATTATACATACATAAATTTCAGATCTAGGGACACAGTGGTACACACTCATATAATACTAGCTATTCAAGAGGCTGAGACAAGAGGATTTCCACAAGTTCAAGGCCAGCCTAGACTAAAAAATGAGACCCTGTTTTATGTCAAAAATAAATTTAAAAGGGTACAAACACTTACCTATCATGTGCAGAACCCTAAGTGTAATGACCACTACCACCACCGAAAAAGATGAATTTCATACCATACCTCCTTGTCATTAAGTGCTCTACAGTAGACTGGGTGCGGTGCTACACACCTATAATCCCAGCTGTCAGGAGACTGAGGCAAGAGGATCACAAGTTTGAGCCCCACTTGAGCAACTTAGAAAATTAGCAAGACCCTGTCCCAGAATAAGGCCTGGGGATGTATCTCAGTGCACAAGCCTTGGGTTCAGTCCACAGTAGCTAAAAAAAATTGTAGTCTCGGTGCCAATATACTATTGCTTGAAATATGGGTAGGATTTCCACTATGAGATGTTCTTGGGGAGTTTTTTTGCTTTGTCTTCTTTTGGGTAGGTTTGTTTGTTTTGAGAGGGTCTCACTATGTAGTCTAGCCGAGCCACAAAGTTGTGGAAATCCTTCTGCCTCAGCCTTCCAAGTGCTGCAATTAGAGATGTGCAGCACCACACCCAGTTTACAGTCGGAGGTCTGATGAGATAGGATACAACATTGGAAAAATGTATGTGTGTATGTGATGCTGGGCAACAAACCCAAGGCCTTGCTTGTGCCAGGGAAGCACTGAACATCCCCAGCCCAGGTTTATTCATTCTTGGGCCCCTGCCTTTGGCAGAGACAAGAAGGCATCAGAGAATTCCAATCAAATAGTACAGCTAATCTGGAAAAACTGCCAGGAAATGATGGGATATAAATGGAAAGAGGCAAGCTGAAGCCAAGATGGGCTTGAATTCCAAATTTAGCAGTTTGAGCTTAATAAATAGGAACAAGGAGATTATTAAAGTCTTGAGGAAAGAGAGTACCATAATTTGTGGTTGTATTTACGAGAAGTAAATCTAGGGAAAAAAGGGTTGCGATCCCAAGAGACCAAATGGCCTTTTCCAGTCCAGTAGCATTGGAAATCTCCAACAGGTACATATACAGTAACTACTCTTGATATTTGGCAATGATTTGGAAGTAGAGAGATGAAAGATGGAAATGAAGTATCACAGAAGCCAGGGAAAAGTTTTACAGAGATTACCAAATGTCAGATTCAGCAGAGAAGTGCTAAAATCCTGGTGGATGTAGTGACGAGGAGGTGCAAACAGAATAGCAGTGTCAAATGAAGAGCTCTTTGCATAGGCAAGACCTCACAATGGGTAAGCCAAAAGAAAAAAATCACAGTACGCATCATCTAAGAGATTGATAGATACCCTAGAAAACTGTGGCAATGTTAGAAAAATAGAAACTCCGTCTCGACTTCAGCATAGCTTGTTTTGTTGTATTGGGGTCAAAGCCAGGGTGTGGGCAAGTCCTTTACCACTGAGCCACTTTCCCAACCTTTACTTCAGTTCTCGTTTAAATGTATAGCAGCTTAAGTAGTGCATAAGATAATATTTTATTTAGAGTAGACACACAAATATGTGCTTAGTAAATGAACGATGTTGACTCTGAACTTGAAAAGCCTGTTTGTTGAAGCCTCCATTCCAACTGGCTGTGGTAAGTCCTTTGTATTCTCATTCTGTACTGGCTCAGACTACGCTGTGGGCTTCAGCAAATATGAAAGCAAATCTTTATAAATGCTGTGAATTTAATGGAAGCATGAAGCAAATCAGGATGTGACAATAAATAAGTTTTGTTTCCCTCTACTAACTGTTGATAAAAATCTATTCTATTTTAGATTTACAAAAAGATTTCTAAAGATAACAACTCCCCTCAAACCAGTGTGGATATCTTCTACATTCAACCAAGGATCAAATACTTCAAGATTCATATAATAAATATGATAGAAGCATGTATGCATCTTAGTGCTTGAAGCAGAATTTCCTTTTTTTTACTAAAACAACTTTATTAAACTAAAAATTTGCACACTACACAATTTGCAAACTTAAAGTGTAAAATTCAGTAGATTTTAGCACATTGACAGAATTGTATAACTCTAACCTCAGTCAAATTTGGGTCACTTTTGTGTGATAGGTGTGTGCCACCATGTCAAGCTTCAGACCTGCCAATTTATAAAGAAATCCAAGAACAGATGTGGTAGGACATTCCTATGATCCCAGCACTCTGAGAGGCTAAGGCCCGAGGATCCAGAGTTTAGGCTAGACTGAGCTACATAGTGACAACCCTGTCTCCAAAACAGACAAAAAGAAAGCTGAGTGTGGTAGTGCACATCTGTGATCCCAGCACTCTGGCAGGGTGAGGAAGGAGAATCATAAATTCCAAGCCAGGCATTGTGGTGTGCACGTGTAATCCCAGCCTCAGAAGGCTGAGGCAGGAAGATCGCTGTGAGTTCAAGACCACCCTGGGCTACATAGTGAGTTCTAGGTCAGTCTCATCTACATAGTGAGACCCTGTCTCAAAAGAAAAAAAAAATTAATGAGAATCATAGTTCCAACCTAGGAGGAGTGATGATAGCAACAGCTTGTCTCAAAAATGAAAAGCAAAAAGCTGAGAGCCAGGCATGTTGGTACACACCTGTAATCTCAGTCCTGAAGAGGCTGAGACATGAGTTTGCTGGGAGTTCAAGGCCAGCCTGAACCACATAGCAAGACCCTACCTCAAAAACTGAGGGGCGGGGACATAACTTCATGCCAGGCCCTGGGTTCATTCACCAGTATTACCAAAAAAGAAAGTTCATTCATTGGGTAGTCATTAAGACTGAAAGAGCCAGGCGTGGCGGCACACGCCTGTAATCCCAGCCCTCGGTAGGCTGAGGCAGGAGAATCCTGTGAGTTCAAGACCAGCCTGTGCTACATAGTTCCAGGTCAGTCTCAACTGCATGGTGAGACCCTGTCTCAAAAAAACAAACAAACAAAAAAAGACTGAAAGAGCTAGAGAAAGCCCATGGGCTTGCTGAGGAAGAAAGGAGAATAGTTTTATCTATGGAGACAACCAGTTATACTTTTGCCTTTTTTCTGAAAGTAAATGGACTGCAGTGAAAATCTTACAGATCAGGTACTTAGGTAAAAATTCTACCTACAATATTAGTAATAATAAAATTTTTAAGTAATATGCAATTATCATGTAATTTCTTCTTCCTAACAATCCTACAAACTATTTGTATCCTCATTGTATAGATTAGAAAACTGAGAAGCCAGGCGTGGTGGCTCACGCCTGTAACCCCAGCACTTGGGAGGCTGAGGCAGGAGGATCCTGTGAGTTCAAGACCAGCCTGGGCTACATAGTGAGTTCCAGGTCAGACGCAACTACATAGTGAGACCCTGTCTCAAAAAACCAAAAAAAAAACAAAAAGAAAACTGAGAAGAAAAATAGGTTAATTACATTACTTGATGACTGTAATTCCAGTACTTGGGAAGCTGAGACAGAAGATCTCAAATTTGAGGTAGCCTGGCCTATATAAAGAGCTTTGGGCTGTCCCAGACTATGTACTATATTTCCCCGAAAATAAGACCTAGCATGATTTTTCTGGATGCTCATAATATACACCCTACCCCAAAAATAGGCTCCAGTTAAGATCCTTAGCTAGATGGATGCATTTAGTATGTTGCAACACAGGTTGGATGTATTGAATTATAAAATAGCAAATACATTATTAAATATAAATATTCACAATACTTAAATAATATAAATTATAACTATTTGTAAATACCCAAGTGGGTGCCTTTGGGTGAGAGACAAACACATATGTAAACAATGAACTTGGATGACTTATTGCCAAACATACAGACAATGCACGAATAATGTGTGAACATGATAACAGACATGGTTGTCTAATGTGAATCTTCATAATTTAACACATCATGTGTTGTAATGGACATAATGTGCTCATAAAATAAACATTTTGTGAATTTTGGTGTCTGCAATTTTTCATTGCTTTTGTGTGGACCATATTCTTTTGTTTTTTGGAGGTTTTTTGTTTGTTTTTTGGTTTTTGTCTTTGTCTTGGGGTTTTTTTGTTGTTTTGTTTTGGTTTGGTTTGTTTTTTGAGACAGGGTCTCACTATGTAGTTGAGACTGACCTAGAACTCACTGTATAGACCAGGCTGGTCTCAAACTCACAGTAATCCTGCCTCAGCCTCCCAAATGCTAGGATTACACATATGTGCAACAATGCCCAGCTGATTTAACTGTCACTATTTTTATCAGCACTCCTGACTCTTAAATCTTCAAATAAAATGACTTGATGGATGCCAGGCATGGTGGCACACACCTGTAATCCCAGCACTGGGGAGGCTGAGGCAGGAGGATTGCTGTGAGTTTGAGACCAGCCTGGGCTACATAGTGAGTTCCAGGTCAGTCTCAACTACATAGTGAGACCCTGTCTCAAAAACAAACAAACAAAAAAGACAATGGAAACTGTAACACCCAGCCTGCAAGAGGTTATGACTTGCGTGAAAATTTCATGGGATAAAATCACTTAACAGCTGTGCTGCCAGTGCACTACAAGTAGGATACATGGACAAGAAGTGGTCTTTTAAGGAGAGTTTTATTGCTGGACACAAGGAATTGGAGCCAAATGTTCTACAGGAAATGGAGTAAAAAAAAAAAATTCGCAGTTTGAAGGGTTATGACACGACACATTTTTGTACGTGGACAAATGCAATTTTTGTACTCAAATTTAATTGTACATAAAAAAGATATTCCCTATTGCATCTTTTGGAGCAAAAATTAATATAAGACCAGGTATCATTTTGGGGGACCCTGTCTCTAAATCAATACTGAGGCAAAAGAATCAAATTTTAGCCTTGCCTGGACAATGTGAAAACAGTGTGACCGTGTCTCAAAATTTTAAAAAATAATTCAAAGGCTGGGATGTAGCTCAGGGGAAAGACCTTGGGTTCAATCCCCAGTACTGCAAAGAACCCAGATGATGTTCACACAACAAAGTCTGGCTTCAGAGTCTATGGGAAGAGGAATTTTATAACTTCTGGATTTTGGTATTTTTCATTGTCCTACTTAATCCTAGTTCACCAATCCTAATCCTCTCTTCACTTCAGTAAAGATCTCAGATTTAAAACCAGGCATGATGGTGTACGCCTGTAATCCCAGCACCTGGGAGGCTGAGGCAGAAGGATCACTGTGAGTTTGAGAGCAGCGTGGGCTACATAGCTCCAGGTCAGTCTCAATTACATAGTGAGACCCTGTCTCAAAAAACAAACCAAAACAAAAATTTTTTTCAAAAAAAAAAATCTCAGATTTAAAGCAGCTTTCTGAGCCTTTTACATTTTAATTTCCTTTTTCTTTTTTTTCCTTTTTTTTTTTTTTTTTTTTTTTTT